AAGAATTGGGGACGAACCATTAGGCCCAAAGGGTAGGTTTGAAACTAGATGATCTTATTAAAATGGTTGAATTGATTTTTGATTTTGAATCTTATCACTAATAGCTAATGTTTGGTTCAATGGAATGGCTATCCCGCGTTATTTTTTATTCCCTAAAATTAAAGTAAATTGTAGAGGGAGTATAACAAAAAGCAGGAACAGTGTGCAAATAAGATTTAAGTTCTGTTAAATTATGGTCATCATTTCATTTTCTGTTCCTAACAGGTGTTTCTTCTGCAGCCTGCTTCAACAAAGGGGAAACCTCCAAAGCTTCACGAAAGGAAGTGTCAGACTGGTTCTTATACTTTATCGTGAAGCAGAAAGAGATGGAACTAGCTAGCAGAGAGCCATGCCCCCGCCAGAGGTTTTCCTCACAAAAGCAGAAATTCAAGCCAAGTATTGATCGTGATTTTTAAGGATGGGACATTAGAAAAACTGCTGTTAATTTCTTGCTGAAATTTACTGTGGTTACAGTGATAACCCCGTAATGTTACTATTGAACTACATCAGTAATTAAGAGTGGTTCCACATTAACCAAATTAAAGCCCCTTTACCGATCGTTGAGCAGTTTTCCTGCAACAAGCAACATTCTCGTAGCTGACTTTCTTCTTCACGGCCTGAGCTGTAGCCTTGTTAGGTGGCTTCTCAACCTCGAAAACTTGAGAGTCTGCAGTACTAGTTTCTGCAGCTGGGTTCTTATCCTCAACTACATTGGTGGTTTCACGGTTCATTCCAAGGCTTGGAATGTTCAGTAGCATTGCTTGATTTCAATTTTCAACTCAAGTTAGCAGTCCCCTATGAATAAGGAGGTATGTTATTTCATATATCCCTCCTTCAAAAGCCCGGATTAAAAAAAGAAGAATAGCCTCGATCCTGAACCAGGATAGGACACCAGTATCATTAACCTAACCCCAGAAGATTCTGGGGTTAAAGCAATACAACATTATTGAAATTCAAATAGCAACGCAAGCCTGACATTTTATTCCACTGAAAGTGAAAGGGACAAACTAGCCAGCATATGCAGACAAGGATAGAAGCGGGCACGTTACTCTAATTATTCTAAAAACGGGCCCAAGCCTAACATAGTAGATTAAGACGCCACGATAAAAGATTAAGACGCCATAAAGGCAAGCTAAAAGAGGCAAAGTAAAAGAGATAGGAGCAACTAGGACGCCATGCTTGCGAGAATTGACACCAATAAATGCTCATGGGACTTAGCGGGTGGTTCATGGCTGAAATGGCCGCTTCTATTCGTATCTTTAATAGGAGCAATTAGGATACCGTGCTCGCGAGAAATGACACCATTAAATGCTTATGGGACTTAGCGGGTCTTTCAGGGCTGTAATGGCCGCTTCTATTCGTATCTTTAAATCATCTTTCTCCTTCCCTTCGGCCTGCAATAAATCAAGTTCAACAAAACTACTCAGAGAATTGCTTCACTTCTCAACATTAGACACTTCCAAATTACTTTCGATGTGGGGTTGGGCGTGGTTAGATTTGCTATGTTATTTATTAAAGGGATATCATTCTTTCTCTGTCAGCTAATTACTAACGGGACAAACTTGTTTCTCGATGGTGGAAAATGTGTGAATAAAATAAATTAAAGTGCGTGCCAATTTTATTTCCGATGTGTGGATTCTTGTTAAAAAATTAAGTTCACGTTTTTAACATTTCTCTTCTTTTAACCATGGAACGGAATTTTCACGTGCTTTCCCAATCCCCATCTACTTCATTTTGTTTGTTTCCCCTGATTTGATAAGAAAATTTGGCAATTCCGACACATGCTTCTTTTAGATTCCCTAATGTGCACGAGAGAACAGCTAGCCCATCGCACCAACAACACTTATCCAAGTGGGTTCTTTAAAGTCCAAACAAACATCACCACGTAAGAGACATTACAAGTGTCCCAATATTAGTGGGTGCATATATCTACCAAAAGACACATCTCTTAAATATAGATTTTTGATTTTTAAAAACTATGCGACGATGATCCAACTGAAAATTGCCCCATAATTATACAATATTTAAGGGTTAATCAAAATTTTAGGTTTTTACGTTCTTGTTTTAAATCTAAATCTTAAAATGAATTAAAACAATTTTGAACAAAGATAGGCTTATTTATTGTTTCGTTGAATTTAAGAAACTATATACATAAGAATTATTGGCCAAAAAGCTGTGAGCCCGTTGGTGTTGATGGTGAAGAGACAACATTAATGGTTTACTGTTTTTGTAGTATTTCGAAATAATTAAAACTTCATATAGTCCAAGAGTCTGTCCAAAAGAATCAACGTGTCAAAAATATAGGTGGTCTTTTTTGGCTAGGGGGGGCTGAAAAAGTGAAAATGGATTCACCACATATTAAGGTGTAGATTGCACTGGGGTCACTTTCCTTCGCTTTCTCCGGACACGCTGATTTCACCATGTATCATCATTGCTCCAAATGGAATACAGCATAACGGATCAACCCTTTTTAAAGCAGTCTTGTCTATTCCCAATATTATAACCCTTCATTTCCTGTATGCCCTTCCTATACTGCGTTTCCTACTACCATTACTAAAAAACAAATGGCTTATTTATTTCTGACGTTTCTCTCTAGGAAAAATCCTAGCCCTTAGTGATAGGGTTTGGAATTGCCTTGTCCGGCTTGGTGTTAGTTAGATTAGCTAGTACAATGCAGCTAATTAGTACCGCCTTACGTGGCTTAGTGGTGCATTGTGTGGTTTGGTGATGCGCAATTTTATGGGGTTGTGGTTTGTTTTGGTCTAATATTTGGATGCTTCACATGGTAGCCGAATTGGTCTTTAGAAGGAGGTTTGTGATTGGACAAGAGAATGTGGCTTTCTTTGTGCTGAATGCATTGTTGGTGAGAGGCGAACCACTCCAACATGATAGTTCTTTAGCCCCTCTGAAAGTTGGTTATTGAAGATTAAGATTTCTTTCATGTAGCTAGCTTCGATTATAAATCCCACTGATGAGCTGGGTTGCTTGTGTGGTTATTGCCTTTCTCTAAATATAATGCATACAATTTTTATATAAATAAATCCCTTCTCTATGATAGATGTAATTTATATCAACTGACATTATTTTTCATCTTATCTCATGACTATGATTAAATGTTTAATATTTTTAATACAAAACATTTTGATTTTTCATTTTCTATTAATAACTTATTTGCTTTATCTAAACGAGAAGATTTTATTTTTCTTGTCTCTTCCTGATGTATGTAGTTGTGTTTTTTTGTTTGTGTATGATAATTTTAAGAAAAAAAAAATGAAAAATTAAGATATCTTAATATTTAAAATGTAAAAATTATTATAAAATTATTTAAATAATTTTAATAAATTTACTTTACATACATGTTAGTACTTCATTAAGAGTATTTAAATTTTTTTCATATGGAATTTTAACATTTTAAAACTACCGATGATTTCTCTTTTGATGGCAAAAAATTATCAAATAATTCTACAATAAGTTTGGATTTAGGGAGATAGAGAGAGAGAGAGAACAATTACCTTATTTAGTTATCAGAAGAAATGAAAGAGAAGGAAGAAGAGTTCTTTATTTTATTTTTCAATTAATTACATGTTAATTCATTAATATTTAAGTTTTTTTTATAAAAAAATTAGTTCTGATATTTTCATTAAGAGAAACGTCTAAATTTTTTTTCCCGTAATCCTTAATTTTAAATAGGTTTAAAATTTTTATTGGGTATATAATTATTTATCAGTGCACCAATCATAGAATTAATTTATTAGAAGAAAAATCCAAAAGTAGAAAGAAGCGGCCGATGTGAAAAATATGTACAGCAAGAGAAACTAACCTCGACAATGACCGTTTTCAAAAGCTTCCCAGACACCACCGTGATATTGGCCGTAATGATTTTGAGCTTCAAATATTCAAATACCTCGCACAGTTTCACCATCGTGTCGGTCCTTTTGCTGCACGTTATGCTCACCACCAACGCCTTCTCTCCCATTTGCGAGACTGTCAGCTGTAGATAATTAACCAAACAGGACGTTTGCTTCAATTTTTTTTTTTTTTTTGGAATTAATTCTTCGATCATGATTTTGATTGAGAGAAATTTGAGAGAGATTTACTTCAAGCACTTCAATCGGAGCGGTTCTTGATCCTGCGGGATCGCAAAAGTTGTCGAACTTCGTCTTCTTCGATCTAAGCAGTACCGGAAGGTCCTGATCGAAATTGTCGTAATTAGCTAGGTTTTTCATCAATTTTCCGGTTTCCAGCTCCATTATATCAGCCTGAACTCGCTTCTCCTGTTCTTGCAATTCCTGGATGTAATCTATTGCGTCTTTGATTATGGAAGCCTTATCCATCTGAGATTCGCAACCAAACAGCAAAGAATTAATTAGCGAGCAAGCGGAAATAGAGAACAAATTAACAAATCTTACGAGATCCAATAATTAATTAATCCTATTCATACACCTTGCTGATATTGGGGACAACTGCTCTGAGAGCGAAGAGCCGTTCGTTAAGCTTCCTACGGCGATTTCTCTCGGAAACAATGTTCTTAGAGGCAGCAGGGGAGGCAGCTCCTTCCGGCGAACTTGAATCGTAGTATCCGGAGAACTCATCCATCGCCCAACTGTTCCGATTGAAAGAAAATCTGTGAGGTAATGAAACTAATTTTGAAATTGATATGTACGATTCAGTAAAAGAAAAGCTATTTCGATACCTATATTCTTCATTTTCAAGGAAGTATTTGGTTTCCCAGTAATTTTTGTATTCATCGCAGTTTTCCATGGAAAGAGACGGAGAAAAGTGGAGTGAAGGAGTACAGAAGAAGAAAGGGGACTTCTCCAGAAAGCGGAGAGGAGAATTTATAGAAGGGGAGAACGAAGTGGTTAAAATCGGATGCAATTGTTCTTACATTAATTTCGTGCTGACCCAAAAGTTGAATACATCATTTTCATTCCCACCACCGAGTGCAAGGAATTTTCAAAAAATAATTAGAGAGTTAGTGTTTATTAATTTAAAATTTTTAAGTTTTATATATACCTGAATTGAGAAAAATAAAATAGGAGGAAATTTTTTTTAATAAATTAAATTATAATGTTTTTAAATTGTTATAACTTGATTGATAAAAAAATAAAAATAAAAATTCTTAATATTAAAATTGTTAAAACGTTTAATCATAATTATTATTTAAATACTAAAATTTCATTTAAATGATAATTATGACTAAATGTTTTATCAATTTTAATATCAGAATAACTTAATTTTTTACATGCTCTTTGATTGATTAAATTTTTTTTTATTTACATTGAGACATTTTTTTAATCTAAATTTACTATTAAAATCAATGTTAACAGTTTAACTTATTCTTTAATATATATATATAAAAGAAGCCTCCAAAAAAATTAATTTTTTTAATATATCAAATAGATATAAAATGTATTTTTTAAATTATCGAGAAAAAATTAATTTAAAAAAAATGTAAAAGTTAGCTCGAAAGGCAAGCGTGGAAAAGAAGAAAAAAATTGATGCTTCCTGGAAACCACGTCACCGTCCATATGCAATTTGCGTAAGACCGCGTATGGACAACGATGTAGTAGGCAGCATCAAATATGAACGCTCTGGAATATTATAATAAAAAAAGTTGCCCCTTAAAAATAAAAGAAAATACAGTATCTTCCTTTAATTTTTTTTTTTTTATTAACACGTGATATTTTAGGAGATGGGAAAGAGATTCTAACATCAGCCCTCAAGAGGCTTGTGTCAGACTGACAAACCCGTATGCAATGCACTGCCAATTTGAACTGTGTGCCCAATGTCTTTTCTGTCAAATCATCGAGCAAAACTATTTCCCATCATTTTTTTTTTATTTCTTATCAATTGAATATGTATTTTTATGTTGTGATCTGTTGGTGATTATCGTGGTCTAATAAAATTATTGATGAATTATACTTTTAATTAATGGTTGAATCTTGTAAAAAATAAGTATTAACTTCGAACCTCTAATTCTAACCATTGCCCGCTGTTAAAAAAAAAAAAAAGAATATGCTGAAATTTGTTATCGTACATATTTCATAGCATGGTTTGTGTTCAACGAAAAATCCAAATTGTAATGCCTCTTTCTTTGAAAAAATACCAGCAATTATTGGGAAAGTGTCTTGAAAGGCCCAGACTCCTGGTTTGGTGGATGGTACATTTCGCAACGAATTTTTAGCAACTATACTTCGCGCGGCCGCCAATGGCCCCACATTCTCATCTATGACTAATTCTAATTCATACATTTTTTTTTTTTGTTAGAACATCTGATCAGGCTTTGTTGTCCCTCCAATCAAACATATCTTTCACATTCTCCTTTTTTTAGCAAATACGTACTTGTTTACGCTTATGCATTGTTTAGGAAAATCCAAACTCGAATTGTGATTCCATGATTACGATTTTGAAATTAATTGTGATTTAATTATTAAATCTTTAATTGATAGTTAAGTATGACTTATTCATTGAATCTTTAATTAGTAAATGTATCCGTTATTAATATCTGCTTTTGATGATGACTTGACGAGGTCCACTCCAGCATAAAAGCATTCATATTCCAAAGCAAAAGCAAAATCTTTGATGGGGTGACTCCGGTCCAGTTGTTGAAATCTGCATCCTGAAGCATTATTAAGCGATGTCCTTTACAGAGGGTAAGTGCAGTGACGTCCGCAAGGGGGCGGCTACAAATTTTCGGCGATGTCACTGCCATCTGCATGCGGCGCGACTTGAGTCTGTCCGTCTACATTGCTATTGAGTTTGCCGTACTGATGCATGGCTCTCTTCTTTAGAATTTGGAAAAGTGTTAAAGCCACCTATAGTCCTTTTACTTTCTATTTTTGTTCATTGTCCTCCCAATACTTAGAAATCATTCAAAGACCTCTCTCTACTCTTCCAAACAATGTCCTCCCTCTACTTTAATTTTTCATTACATTTACCTCCCTCACATGACACCATTTATAATTCCCATTTAATGGAGTCATTATCTACCATTAAGTGCAATATATCTTGCCAAATCATGGATTCTAAAACTTAAAATTTATCTCCTTGTTTTATTTGAGCCTCCTCACCAACATAGATGCATCAACAAATCTATACTTCACTAAAACTTAAAATTTGTTAATCACCTCATAACTCCGCCTTAATGATTCCTTCCTTTCCATTTCTTATAACCGACTAAACTAGATTAACTATCACTTAAAAACTCACCTATTAGCAAGATGAGATGAACTAAAAAATTTAGCAATTTGGTAGAACCGAGCCTATATCATAGAAAAATTAAGCCTTAACAAACTGTCAAGACCAGTGAGATATTCAAGTTTTTTTTTTTAACAACAAAAAATACTATATATTAATAAACGGAGTACAAGGGGTATCCCAAACCCATACACATGACAATTTGAAGGCATAATATTACAAAAGAAAGGCCTTCCGATTGGTTACTTACAATTGGTGTCAACACCATAATTAAGTGTCGACACTAAACCGTGACGGATTTCTGTTCACTTTAGCCTTTCTTCATCAATCGCTGTTCAAGTTGAAATATTCAAGTTGAAATAGTGTAAAATTGCTTTTAGACTACAAAAAAAACAGCAGCTTTACAAGTGAGATTTTTTGCTTCAAAACAGTGGAAAACATGCCCAAACAGACCAGACTTTTTTTGGGCAAAAACGACAGCTACATCATGGTCCGAAACAAGCTAAAACAACTGTTAAACCATTCTAAATTGATAGAAATAGAGCAAAAAAACAAAACTAAATTTCTGGGCACATTTAAGGACAAAATTAAATAGCCGAGTTTTGGTGATAGAAAGGGTAGAAAAATAGTAGCCATACATAACTAAAAATCTGAGTTAAAAATCTGAGCTGTTTTAGGTTGTTTTGTGCGTGATTTAAGTGTAGAAATTTACACGAGCAAAACAGTGTAGAAATTTAAAAGTAGAAACATATAATTTTAGAAGCTAAACAGCAGTAGAATTAATTTAGTGCAGAATTAAGTAGATATAAGGGCAAACAGTGAGGGGTAAAATAAGGTAAAACCGAGCAAAATTGGAGGCCAGAAAACAGCATACAATACACAGAGCAACAACAGCTAAATAGTACAGAAAACATGATAGAGTTCAAAGTGAAACAACAGCAAAATCACAAACCATAACAAGGAAAAACCGAGGCTTAACTAGGTTTATACAAAGCAGAATTTCGAACCACATAAAACCAGACTTTTAGCAACTAATTAAATCATGCAACAAACATCATGAAAGTCAAGCATAAACAGTAGAGTTTTCAAGGAGTTCTTATCTGTGGCCCTTACCAAAATATCTCTAGTCAAAAAACACCAACACAAGGGAAAGATTAAGGTTAGAACTGTTAAAAAATAAGAAATAGCAGAAGAATAAAAAGAATAGTTTTGAGGCATATTCTCATTTTCTTTAAGGATTTAAAATCTTACAAAATACAATGAAACTTAAAACTCTCTTAAAATTAGATATAAAACTTTGACTTTACATGAATTTATACTGCTTAAAGAGTCACTATTTATAAGATGTATCATTACAGAAAGACATTATTTTATAGAGATACCTCCTCATAGAAAGATACTATTTTATAGAAGTACCTTTTGGTTTTCAAAAGTTATGTCTAATTTTCGGACATATTTTTTTAAATTCGAATGTAATAAAATAAATTAATAATAAGATGTATCCTTGCAGAAAGACATTATTTTATAAAGATATCTCCTCATAGAAAGATACTATTTTATAGAAGTAC